GCGAATAAATAATGGCACTGTCTGTTTTTATTCTTAATGTAGCAATCATTACCTTCTAAGAGGCATCGTTAGCCTTATTTACTCATCAGTAGCTTGTATGGAAAATAAGATTGGTTTACAATTACCGAACTAATGAGATTCCTTCCAAAACGTAAAAAGGAATGTAGGTGGATAAACATTTTGCACAGTTTTACCTGATGAAGAGTCAACAGACACACACACACACTAGTTTATATAATGTGTCTCTAAATTAACGATCACAGACATAAATAAAATGAAAAAAAAATTGAGCAAGGCGTATTAAAATTAAGTATACAATATACTTATGTGTCATTTAATCCTCGTTATCTATTGAGGTTTTTGGAGGTAAAGTATAACAGGAAATTTAGGAGAAAAGATGTCCCGTTCGATCAAAAATCGACCTATCTCGGCGTTTTTCGGAAAAATAATTTTCTTGACAGTTATTCGCCCTATTTCATTTTCAAGAGCCCACCCTATATATTTGAGAATATACTTAGCAAAACTACGTAAGATAAAAACAGTTATTAATTGAATCCGACAAACATTCATTGATCACAATGAATTGATCACGTGTGCCACTAGCATTAAGATTAATGAACCGTTCTGGGGATCCGCTTTTATTTGTTCTAAATTTAATTGTGTAAATGTAACCCTCACACGGAAATATCAAGAATAGGAATTATTATCCCTAATTACTCGAAGCTCGGCTTAGGGCAACTCAAATAACTTTTTACTGCTTTCGTGTATTACGTTCTGCGCTGCCTCTTCCTGCCTGTTGCAATTATTGAAGAGCAGAGAATGGTTCACAACAAGCATGAGTTACGACAAAACCATTGATGAAGCTGTAAAAATCGATCAGACTCGGATTTCAGACAGGCCATAGGCGTACTACATCTTTACATCCGCGAGAAAAATAACTAAAAAAAGTATGTAGTAATGCAATAAAGTAATAAATAATATTTTAAATAATAATAAAGGAATTGTATACAATCCAAGTTGTTATATCTGGTAAGTTCAAGTAATATAATTGCTAGGTATATTTACTTATTATATCTTTTATCTCATTATTTAACATCAACTGTTTGAAGACAAAATACGACTTTTTATAATTTACGTGTTGATATTATAACACCTGCATCTAGGAATATCTTACATTACCGATAATCGATTGTATACCTCGTGGTTAAAAACTCGACAAAAGATATCAATTTATATGTTCACTATTATGTCTCTATCCCCGTCTTACCAACTTAGTTTTTACTTGGAACAAAACATAACTCTCAACAAACAACCCTAAACAGTTTTCTAATAAGTACCTTGTGTGGAATACACGTATATAATTATTTTCCTTCAAAGAATGGAATTCACCGACGTCGTTATTCTAAATAATTACCCTTTAGGCAATAGAAAGAACGAATATGGGACGTAAATGTGGTAAATAATAATTAGAGTTTGTCACATCGATACATAAATAAAAAACAGCCCGGTAACGAGACCTGTGCGTTCGAACTGTGCCTATCAAATTAATAAATGAAATGTACATTTTCCTGATTTATGCTGTGACTGAACAACAACAGAATGTGTTTATGAAACAAATCCGAAAAGCACAAGGTATGGCCCAGGATATCCCATTAATGTCCTGTTCATAATCATCATATCTCAGGACATTGACCGTATGTGTTCGAGACATATAGGTAATTTTATACCAGGTATTTTATACTGCAATATACGAAGGATATTTCCCACGTTGAAAATAATTTGAGTTTTAATGTAAAGAAATTTTGGTGGTTTGTTAATATTAAAAATAATAACAGTTTTCCATCTGTAATGACATTAAATGAGATGACCATTACAAATGCACCAGATATATGTGAGCTGTTTTTTGATAGTAAAATGTTATTTGATGCCATATTACAAACTATTGCATTTATATTACACGTTTGTATTTAGTAAAATTAATTTAGCTTCAGTTATATGGAATTCTCAATATATTAGTTGCATTGAAATGATTCAACATATATTTTTTTCTTTCAAGTGTAGGAGAACTTTGAACGACGTTTTCATAGATTGTCTGTTGAATATAATACTATAACTTTAGCTAACAGGAAAGTATTAGCAGATGTTATTAACCTGTATAAAATTATTAATGGTAAAATCGATTGTGTAGGCCGTTTAGGTCCTACGACTTAGTTTTCTCTCCTGAGTGCAGAATGATGCGTTCTTATAACGACATTTGTAGCAGTTTATATTTATTTAAGAGATTGCTCAAATGTATACTTCTTTTATAATATTTTTTATGCTATTTATGCTGTTTGATGTTTATCTGTCAATTTAGTGGATATTTTAGTGGTTTTTGTCGCCTGTTTGTATCCCAAATGTAAGTAAATAAATAAATATTCCATTATTAGTTTGGTATCCTATACACTTTTTGGAATATATCCCTGGAAATTGTATCAGAAATTAATGTTATAAAATAACTTAGCAAGGCCTCTTTAATCATGATGTGATGTGTGTCTTAATATTCAGAGACCTACAGATTGTCCAAACCTTATGTCCCTGGGATATATGGTGGGATATTTATAGGATATCCTGACTTGTAACCTAAGGTATCCCTCAGATGTCTGAAGGATAACCCATATCTGTTATAACATCAGACATCCTCAGACTGTCTGAAACATATGTCCCTGGGATATAAGATGGGATATTTGGAGGATATCTTATTCTGTAACATAAGATATCCCTCGAACATCAAATGAATAGACAAAGCCAAAACTGTACATTATGGTGATCATGGTCATGGAGGTATATCCCACCAGATATCTTAAGAATCCAGATATGTGGAACAGGTTTGTGTTACTTGGATATCGAAGGTATAATGCGTATAGAAAATAAAATCTTACATCTGTCGTAATGGACAATTTTATTAGATGATCTATATTTTGTTCAATGGGGCAATGAGGTCCTATCTCTCCTTGAGATAATGATGGATACTATGATAATGGTTCTCTTAACTGTTCTTATAATTCTTGCTTACAGGCATCGACCTGTAACATTGGTCGCATTTTTATTTTAATTATATTAAGTTGTTTCTTTAAAAAATGTTTGTCGTATTTGTAAGTTAATGTATACAGGGTGTTAAAAAAAGAGTGTAAAATATTTCAGGAGGTAATAGTATGAACCAAAATAAGCAGAAATGTCTCAATAAACATGGGTCCGCAAAGTAACGGTTGCGGAGATATGGAATGTTTTATGTTTTTAGCCCCTTTTTTTATTTTGCAAAAACGTTGTGTATTTTCTTATAATAGTTGGTTGATGTTTAGTGAAATAAACAGTACGTATTTGACAGTTGTTCTCAGTGCACAAGTTTTCTTTCGCTATGGCTGGTTACTCTAACGCAGAATTAACAGACATGCATTTCATGTATGGTCGTGCTAATGGGAACGCCACCGAAGCGCGACGTCTTTATGTTGACGCTTATCCAAATCGCCAGATTCCTTCACAACGCATGTTTGGAAGAATTCACCAAAGATTGCGTGATACCGGTTCCTTGAGCAAACAGTGCCATTTATCCGGAAGACCAAGGTCGGTATCCACTCCTAGAGCAGAAGAAGAAATTCTAGCACTGGTAGAGCAGAATCCAGGTACGAGTGTGCGGAGAATATCAGCCGAGGTAGGAATTAGTGGTCCTCTTGTTTGGAGAATCCTTCACGAGCAACTGCTTTATCCATACCATGTGCAACGAGTACAGGCCTTAAATCCAATAAATGATCATCAAGCACGTTTGGTTTTTTGCCGCTGGTTTCTACGTCATGATGCTGAAGACCCTCGTTTTCTTGCAAACATTCTTTTTACTGATGAGGCCGGGTTCACAAGAAATGGAGTGTTTAATTTTCACAATACGCATATTTGGGCCGACGAAAATCCTCATGCTCTAATAGAATCTGGACATCAGGCACGTTTTTCATTAAACATTTGGATGGGTATTGTAGGTGACAGGTTTCTAGGTCCTGTTGTTTTACCAAACCGATTAACAGGCGCTGCTTACCTCAACTTTCTGCAGAACACACTGTATGAGTTTTTGGAAGACATTCCTTTGAATCAGAGGCAACAAATGTGGTTCCAGCATGATGGTGCTCCAGCTCATTTTTCCATGGCCGTTAGAGAGCATTTACACCAAACTTTTCCACATAGATGGGTAGGAAGGGCCGGACCTGTTTTATGGCCTCCAAGATCGCCTGATCTGAACCCTCTAGATTTCTTTGTTTGGGGATATTTGAAGACATTAGTGTATGGTACTCCTGTAAATAGCCTGGAAGAGCTGCAGCTACGGATTAATCAAAAGTGTCAAGAAATCCAAACCAAGGAGGGTGTTTTCGAAAGAGTTCGAATATCGTTGAGACGAAGATGTCGTGCCTGCTTGGAAATGGACGGAGGGCACTTTGAACATCTTCTGTAACTTTGTTTTTTGTTTGTTAAAAGCTTCCTTTGTCGGTTTATTCCTAATAAAATAAAATGTTTGAAAAACGAATAGTGGTCCATATCTCCGCAACCGTTACTTTGCGGACCCATGTTTATTAAGACTTTTCTGCTTATTTTGGTTCATACTATTACCTCCTGAAATATTTTACACTTTTTTTTTAACACCCTGTATAAATAAAACTACTTACGTAAAATATCTTATCTCAGACGAATAAACATATTAGAATGAGTGTTTTTAATTATTAACGTATCTTTAAAATCTTAGCCTTATGCGCCATCTATTAGAATTCACGAACACCATAACTGAAGTGTACTCTTATTATACAGATCTCTACTATTCGAGGACATTGTAGCTTTTACATCTTCCCCGAAGATGACGCCTGCTTCTAAAATATCTGGTATCGACATTTACCGCCCCCGTTAGATGGTGGTAGAATGAAACTAAATAAAACAATAACAATCCCATCCACTCCATTCTCGAACGCATGGGAGAATTAGAATAACATGTGTTTATTACATTAAAATTGGCGTTGTGTCGGCCGGCAGTATTGGTTTTTATGCATTGGGAGACGTTCGTTAGTTCGTCAGTCTGTGTCAGTGCCGTGCTGTGTTCAGTTGGCGTTTTGGAAGTATTCCAAATAAACTGTCCAAAACAACTGATTCTGTGTGAGTACCCATGAAGGCATTGCCATTAGGGCACTGTTCCAGTCTGCTGATTTTGTATTTTTGTCGGCAAAATAACAAATCATCAAACGTTAGATCCCAACATATGATTTTAATATTCCCTGTATGTCCCTAATTTTAATGGAGCTATTTAATTTTCGCAGTTGTTTGTTTTAATTAAAGAGCGAATATTAATTTTGGCTGAACATTTTGCTGTACTTTCAACTTCTTAATTGCTTTTAATTAAATGGCAATTAAACATGTCCTATTATTATATAGGTTCCTACTTAATTAAAAAAATATATGTAATTGATTTTATTAGTGTCAATTGTGCGAAATTCTGTTAATAAACCAGAGAGATCTTCTTGATATTAAAATGAGTGCGTGACATATTAAAGGTTGCTTGCATGCATCTACATCGTTGATCCAAATAATAGACCGACACCGACCGATGTTAATATAAATATTTGTGCCCCTGGCGTTCTATTTAGGGTATTCACTTCAGTACGTCAGACAAAAAGCAAAAATTGCAAGCAATTTGTTTTTTTTAAAGCGGTAGTGATGTAATACATATAACATTCATAAGTTCGGAAGCTTATTTATGTCGTGCTCTTTCCACTCATACGCCTACGACAAGCATATATGTCAACTACATAAATTTTAATGATATGGATGCCTAATTTAAAGTGTAGCTTTATACAGGATGTTCTCCAAGTCCCGGACATATCTGCAAAAAATTGTTTCTTGAAACATTTTAAACTAAAACGGATTTATTAACAACGGATCTTCAACTACTGACTTTAGAGATAGGCATGTTGTGTTGATATTTAAAAAAAAATCATAGACCGATATCCAGCGTCATGGATACAATAAATATAATTGGCTGCACCGCTTCATATTAACCATTCTAGCGCAGCTTTTGAAGATAATTGATGTAAAATGTTTAAACTTGAACTAATGAGACAATCCACTGAAATGACACACAAATTGTGTGCTAAAATTCGACACCAATGAGTATTTTGGTATAGTATTTCCGATATTAATTGAAGAATCAAGAGGATGACAGTATGTACCAGGTTCGGTCGCTGACGCAGCAACTCGGCATAGAAATATTTGAAAAACTTGTTCCCATATTTATTTAACCATACCCATATACAGGTCTGATCAAACTAAACGTGAAGGTGGTAGAAATGTATACGCCCAGTTGAAGAATGCGCGTGCGGGCAAACGGTGTTATGCACTGTTGGTCTGGTCGACTGCGTCATAAATTTCAGTTGTCGACAAGTCGCCTGGCAGTGTAGTGCATCAATGCGAATTTTGGTGTGATTCATGTAATTTTAATTTATTATAGGCACTTTCTATTAATCATTCATATTACAATTGCGAAAGGGAGAAATAAGAGGGATATTTGGTTTACTAATATTATGGGATTTTGGAGACCTTTTGAAACGGAGCAAAACGAAATTTACCATCAATATTATAAAATTGTTTGAGGACATAAATAATTAAAATATGTTGTTGGTCAAATGAACATATAATAGAAATTTTCTACACATTATATACAAATTATTAGGTATAATTTTTTACCTTTAACAGAAAACTTTTTTAGGGACGCCTATGAAACTCATTAAATTTTATTGCTCGCTTTTTTGTACATGACTTCGGATAGACTATACTAAAAAAAATTTTCTCTATTTAGTTTGTTTTTAGTTGAATACATCTCCATAATTAAATTATCGTTCGTAACGACGAAACAGCGACATTGCAAAAAAATAATTTGTTGTATACAGAGTGATTCATAATGTCATTAATTTTAACCACGTATTCGGAAGGCTTAATAAAGACAGAAAATGGAAAAATACTTACTCGGCGTTTTAAAAAATAAGCGCAAACTACCCTTTAACTCCCGTTAATTCGGCGTAATACTTTACATCACATTTGCTAACTGGGAACGCGCCGGCGCGTCACAGCGTTCGAATGTTGAAGCGAAACAGCTAACTTCCCCAGTCTTGAATCTTGCAATTTGTTTCAAAAACAAAGTGCAGCGGATACCCATTTTATTACCAAAGTGCTATGGATGGATGAGTGTTTTTACTAACTAACGGTCGAAAACAATCATTATTTGTTTTTATTAACAAATAAATAATACTTGTTAATATTTAAAATGTAAAAAAATATCTTATTCATTCATGTGTTTAGCTAAAAAGCTCTGTTTATTCGTTGTCGTTCACAATGGATTAAAAACTTATTAAAAGCTAAGATAGTGACCGAATACAGTAGGTCAAGATTCACTCTCGATAAACCTCTGTGGGTCAGGAGCTTTCCAAAAAGAGGCTTAAATAATGACTTGAAAATATTTGTTAAGCTTAAATATGCATTTTAAAATTTTTTAAGAACGTATTCATATTCTTTTTATTTTTCCCTATATTCCCTTAAAATTAATGACATTATGACTGAATCGCCCTGTATATACTTTTTCTTTTGTAATATCATTATGACACATCATGTCAATGAAAAATTTACATATTTATTTATTTATTTATTTATTTATTTAGTTGGAAACAACTACTGCCAAGACAGAACGGAGCCCAATTATAAGGCAGGTATAATACAGATTATAAAACAGATAACATTTACATTAATATAATTAAAACACAAATAGAAAATACACACTATATATAAATACATAAAAATAGCGACTTCTATTGAGGATACATGTTTTAAAAGACGAAAAATGCTTAGTTCATCCCATTTAAGATAACACGTACAAGTAAAACTAAAAGTTATGGAAGAATATCGCATACCCAAGAAAACTGATAAAATTATGTCATAAATTAACAAATGAACTAGCAAATAAATAAGCTATTCGCCATCATAAAAAATGTCAAAAAATAAAAAACGCCCTGTATCTCTTAAACTACGTTAGATTTAAGAAATTATATTAAAATATTTTCAAATTAATCAAATGTCAAATCTGATATGCCAAATCACCGTTTAATAATAAAATGGGCGGGTTTTAAACTTCTTTCGACAGCATTTTGTATCTTCAACTAATCACGACATCGAGATATGGTTTTCGCCTTTTAATGTTCCAGAGAACGAACTCTAGGCTTTTTAACTATGTTGTTTTTCTTTATCTCCTTGAGAAATATGAGTAACTCCCCAATTTCGGTCTAGATATTATCAAAATTAGGTCACCATGTATAATCTAACTAATCAAATTGCCCTATTAATCAAAATATTGATCTAAAAATTAGTTACGACAGAAAACACCCTGTATAAATGAGAAGCACATCTTAATTGGTATCTAAGTCTAATTTATATAAATATTTTTTGCTAATATTAAAAATTAATTCTGTTGCGCTTGTTATTTTATTATCTGTGACACTATTAGAGATTAGTCAGGAGGAAATAAGCATAACATGGTTAAAAATAGACGACGCAGTCTTATTTTATTGCTTTAACGACATAAAACATTGGAAAGCCTCATTGAAACATTTGGTGTACTGTAACGTAATTAGTGTATGGACCGTTGCTCAATATCAGATTAAAATCATCGGTCATTATTTCCACCTCTTTGTTTTTTTATAATTCAAATTAAACATTAATTAAACCGCTCTTGCATAATTTGATTTATTTTCGGATTGTTTGTTGAGCTCTATTGTTCATTGACCTTTTCAGTGAGCACTGTTTGATAATTTGGCAATATTTCTATTGTCAGAATTTATCTAAAATATCTGTAATATACCATAACCCTCGCCATAGCCTTAGCAAGAGAGAAAAATTTTATTGTCGGCATATTAGGTTGAAAACAATTGATTACTTGTAGTAATTTTTAAATCTTGTCCTAACTTAAGTCTTTTTGTCTTTTTAAATGCAATCTTAAATTTATGTGTTTAACCTTATCTAAATGCCACGTTGACAAATTATATTTTTTTGTGAACTAGTCAATATGAGCAAGTTCTAGCTAATTTTAGTTCACGTTCAGAACCAACCAAAACGGCCCATTACATTGAACACCTAACCTACCTTATCTAAATGCCACGTTGACAAATTATATTTTTTGATGAACTAGTCAATATGAGCAAGTTCTACCTAATTTTAGTTCACGTTCAGAACCAACCAAAACGGTCCATTACATTGAACACTGTACGAGAGAGAAAGGTCATGGTTTACTATGAAAAATTTCAATATTTTTTAGTACTGTTTGTGGTTTAATTCATCCAAACTGGAACATCCTGTATATCTTCCAAATGTTTCCTTGCATTGCTTACTAATATTGTAAAACTAAGAATCAATTTAGTAATTTAAAATTAATTTTTAGTTGGTCATTCCTAACATTTTTCCCAGACAACAATGTCGCTAACGTTATATAATGATTTATAATTATTATCTATTTAAGGTGAAAAACCATTATTCCCCGTGCATAAAAAAATTAAAATCAAATGGTAAGCTCGTTGAATCAATCCGTGATGTTACTTATGCAATTCTATGTAATTGTTACACAATGCAACTGCATTTTTGTCGGGGAAACCCAACCGCGCGTAAATACAAAACATTGAAGCAAAGAACTCGGAGCTTTTTGAGAACCTTGTTATAATACTGCCTATCATCAGTAGTTATAAAGACAGTAGAGAGACAATTATTTTGATCTAAGATAGTAATAAGTTAAAGTTGCAACTACAGCAAAAACAAAGTTTATTTGCAACATTCAGAAAGTAGTACTCAACCTTGATATGGATACAAATATATTTTTCAGTTCTTCGAAATAATATTAAAAAAAAATGTAGACGTAGTGTATTGACGAACATACAGTTTTCGTTGGATTCCTCCGAGATCTATATGGCAGTGTCAACAACGATCAATAATAACGGGTAGTCACTTAAATGTAAATCTACGAAACATTGGATTTAATCGTAAGGAAACACCAACGCAGACACCACATTCTATTGATAAAAACCAAGAATATAACGAAATACATAGCTGATTTTAAACAAATCTTTATAAAATATATTGCAAACGTCGCTATTATCGCACACAGAATTTTCCCAACTCTTCCATCTACCATATATTTAACTCGAGTTAATACACAATACAGGGTGTTTCAATAAAGTTGATGAAGCTGTTGACCACAAGCTCTTCAGGGAAATCGAAATAACTGGAAATTAAAGTATGCAAAAGATATCCAATTCCACAGAAAAGATTTGTAACTGTTGATATTGCGGGAAATAACTACCCTATAGTTAATTGATGAAATATAGTCTCAAGTAAAACGTGGAAACAGAAGGATTTGTTTGTAGTAGCTGTTTTTTACATGTTGGTCATAGGTGGTGTTAGAACATCAAAAATATAAGACATTCACTTAATTTGATAAGATTTTTTATATCTTCACCATTAAGGAAAAATGTTTTATGAATTGTAGAAAAGCTGCAAGAGACTATTTCAAGAGCTTTGCACCTCTGAAAAAATTGTGTATAATTGCTAATGCAAGGAAATGTAAAAAAAGGGGCATTTTTCTCCTTTCTTTCATGTATAACTCGGAGAATATTGACATTAGAGAAATTAGTCAAAGAAAAAAAGTTTCGTTTTGAGATTCTCTTCAAAATAAAAGTGAAATTTTTGTGCATTATTGTTGCTTCAAAAAATCGTGAAAAAAGATCGTTTTTTCATGACTTTATTTAGGACATTGACTTTAGAGCAGCCATATAAAAAAATATGATTCTGAGTACTTCATGATATGGTAGTCTTGCAGAAATTTTTTCATCGAAATAGGCCGGGTAGACTTCGCACAATTGAATTATTGTTAATTAAGAAAATACAGAATTATACTTATTTTTCAATTCTCCCTCACGGTAAAACCAATGATTATTTGGAGCTCCCAATTTTTATACACACCCTTTGGAGTCTCAACTATCAACCCCCATTTAAACTTTTTTCGATTTTATCCATTTTAGCAACAATTTGAATTGTTTCAAAATTTTTTCGAAAAAATGCACAAATATTTAGAGCTGGAGCTACCGTATTTGCATGTTCTTCAAATGTAATTATAGGATCAAATAGAGGAAGGATTGACGAACAAAATCCACTTTTGATCTTGTGGGTACGATAAATCGTCATTGAGATATGAAAGCTCAAAGTTGAAGTGAGTTTACGTATAATAACAATCAAAATAATTTGTTAAATCGGAAATGTATTTTAACTGTTCTGATGCAAAAAAGATTGATACATTTCATAGGGATCAAGCAGAGTCAGAGTGAGAAGTGGGGGGACTATGCGAGCGGAGCAGCATAATTCACTTGCACAACTTTAATTGACTTTTTCTCAGCTTCTACAACATCGATGATTTTTGTTTTAATCGATAGAGGAAAGCGAGATCTATTTGAATCTTTAATGTCGATTAAAAAATCTTTCAATTTAAATTTATATGCAAAATAAAAAACATTTAAAATTTAAATTAAAAAAAAATACAAAGAAGGCTCTATTTTTCAAAAACTACATAGTTTTCGTTGAGATGAATCCTTAAATACGATTGTTCATTTCAAGATTAGTATTTATTTTGAATATAATATTTCTCGAATATAAAAAAATGATGTACAAATTGGTATTTAAAATAAATTAGAAGTCTGCTTCATTGAAAGCCTTTATTTTAAAATATAACGTTAATTTCTTATTGACGTTAATTGAAATACGTTTTGAGAAGAAACTATGTAGAACCTAAGAAAGAAATAAGAGATAATTTTAAATTTGTTTTCTAATAAAATCATCAATTTGTAATTTACATTTATTTGTTAGGTAAATCTTAAATCCCCAAAAATTTAATCCATCTTAATCATTAATTATTTATGCAATGCACATTTTGTAAATTTCTGAGGAAATAATCTGTTATCCACTGCGCAACCTCACTTTAGTGTTTCTTAATAGATTAGATTAATAAATCCTAAGGTAGATTCATCGGTATTTTGAATGACTGGAATGATCCTTAAAAATATTATCAAAAAATCTAAATAAAAAATCAATATTAAACCTAACTAATCCGATTAATGTAATTAATTAGAAAGTAGCAATATTGCCTTGAATAACAGGAATAATTCTGTAAATATTTACCAAATGCAATATTTTTTCATGTTTTATTTTATAGTACAATTGAAATAGGTACCTTCCTCTATCAAATAGCATTTTATTTAGATACAAAAATCATATAATTGCTGTTGAGTAATATTTATTTAATGTAGGTACCAAATTTTTTGCTATAAAGTGAGAATAAGTTGCACTAAAATATCCTGCCAAAATTGCAATATAATAGATAAACTATTGCTTATTCGGATCACATTGTGAAATCTTCTCAACCCAAAAAAAGGCCATGGTCCAATTGGTTTGTGGTTTCAGAAATATTCGCTATGAATAAATTAATAGTAATAATAAATACATATTTTTATAAAGCGTATTTCGAAACAAAAAAAATAAGTTTGTTATCTTGGCTAAGGAAATATGCTATTTTTAGCATTGCGTATCTAATAATACTCGTACATATTTGCCTATTATTTAGCCTTAGTGCGGCCTACCGCACTGTGGCATAGTCCACTTGAAAAAAAATTAACA